GCAGCACTTGTATTTTCTTTGCCACTGAGAAAAAAAATCACAGCTAATCTACGGAGTGAGTGATGATGAGTGGGCTGAAGCGTCAGTCCGTTCGTTCATGCGTGCGTCCCTGCGTTCGTGTGTCCATGCGTCCATCCATCCATCCATCCATCCATCCATCCATCCATCCATCCATCCATCCATCCATCCATCCATCCATCCATCCATCCATCCATCCATCCATCCACGCGTTTGTGTGTCTGTATGCATGTCTGTCCCATATGTCCGTTCATATGTATGTCTCCCACCAATACCGACTCCCACCAGTACCGATTCTTTCACACGCGAGGAGGCTGTCGCACTTTGCCAACTGCAGACCCGAGCTTTTCCAAACTTCCACTTCACGAATAAAACATACCCGACTCGTTATACAGATGCCTGTCCAGGCTGTGGCGCTATCACCACAACTTTTCACATTACCGTCGTGCTATGCCGCGAACTTTCCTCCGCACTCTCCAATCCTTCGGTCCACCCCTACCGCAGAGCAGTGGGAAGGCACCCTTGGCGACGGCACCCCTAAGGTCTGCCGGGCCCTCATTCTCAGGGCCTGGGCTGTCGCAGAGATTACCATAGGAGGCCTGGAATAGTGACCCTCCCCATTTTATTTGAATTTGCATAGTTAATTGTTTTTCATCATCATCAAAGACCTTTTTCACAATTCTTTTTGCTGCAGATCACAACACACAGGATGATGAGTGCCTTAGTCTCGGCTTTTTGCGAAGGCTGGCCATGACCAGGTCAAGAAATTGCATTAGTGTTATGTGCAGAAACTGATACAGATGTATGACACACGCTAAAATCAATGAATGCGGACGCACCTACCAGCCCAGATGGGATACTCATGGGTTTTATCTGCGTTTCTTGCGATCATTAGATGTGATTACAGATCTCATTAACATTTTGTTGTACGACGGCCATAAACCGCAGCCTTTCCACGAAGGTAGGGTTTTTCAATTGTTAAAAGAACGTATAAAGCAGCTTTTCTTGAAGGAGATTGTGCACCCATTCAGTAAAGCGCAATACCCGGCTGTTCCATCTTCGTGCCCCTCACAATCATTTGAGACCTTTTCGCATATGCCAAAAAAAAACATTTCATTCATTTCAAACATTTTGGCCTGACCAAGGAGTATTTCATTCCCTTGGTCAGGCCAAAATCATTTGACAGAATGAAAGACAGGTTCCTTTTCTATGTTTTGTGCATCTTTATCCATCCAGAACAGTACGCGCGCCTTGTAGAAGTACTCCATACAGATCTAGCAAAATCTCTGTATTTCAAGAATGAAGCATGAGCGCCTCATAGAATACTCTACAAGGATCTAGGAAAATCTTGTTATTTCAGCATGAAATTCAGCAAAAGCTTCACAAAGCCGTAATACAGGGCTGTCCTTTGTTTCCGTGTATAGAGAGTCTTTCATTAGGGAGATCCTAAACTGCAAGCGTATAACGGGTTTTTCGATGACAGGAAGTGAAACCTTCAAGTTTGTTGCATATACGCTGATGACACCTTGACCAGTATTTTCATTACAATAGCAATTATATAAATACTCTCGACTGATTTTTGTCGTCACCATCGCCGTCATTTCCTGGATATGTATCGTAGTATATATATATATATATATATATATATATATATATATATATATATATATATATATATATATATATATATATATATATATATATATATATATATATATATATATATATATATATATATATATATATATATATGCTACCAAGAAACATTTCAAGGCGACCACCGGAGATTCGTACCGGTGACTCCTCGCTCCACAGTGCACTGCATTAACCAACTAGGCCACGCCGCTCATACTGTCCATCGCACTAACGGTGAGCTGTGTATATACACTATTTACCACTTGCTTACCGCCAACGGAGTTGAAAGAAAAATTCTTGAACAAACATATACTTTGTTTGGACAAGTCATTCAAGTTTCCTAAACATTGACGTGTTTGAAGGTGTTTCATTAATAGAGGAGTGAGCTCACTGAAGTGCATACAGTTGTATAAAAGGGGCATTCTAAAATGTCTTTGGCTCCAGTTCAACTTTGCAGCAACAGGAAAAATTACTCTCATGGTCCTGTCGTACCTGTGAATTCTGTTCCTATCGAAATGCGCACCGCCACCATCACTTTAGAAGGACAAACTCAACTCACTGCCCCAGATGAGTTGTGGTGTTACTTGCGCCGTTAGAGCATCACGCAACTTCGTAGTTGCAACAGTGTACATCTCACCAGGAACCTTGCTGACTGACGTCATAAACTTCTTGCTGCGCAACTTCCGTGCGGTGCGCCTACAAGATGTGCCGGTGATAGTCACTGGAGACTTCAACGTTAATGTACTTGAACGTGAAAACCAGTGGCTTGTCACATTTCTCAATGTCGAACTTGGAGGTCGCCTTTTATTGAATGACACGCAGTTCAAAACAACACCTGTTTTACAACACCTGATTCACAACAACACCTGTTTAGATACTGTAGTTTCTGCTTTATTGCCAATTCAAGCAGAATCGACCATGTTCACAACGTTTCGTAAGGTTCCTAAGTCTCCTAGCCTTGCTTTGTCTAGCTGCTCAATGGGATTTATCGCATTCATTGCTTCAGCAACGAGTGCAAGTCAGCAGTTCAGCAAGTGAGTGATTATTATATGCCAGCTAAATTCTCTGCTTTTCAGTAAATAACTCTTTCTCTCATCGCTTCGGCCTTGTGCCATAACTGTTATTTTTTTTCGTAGCTTTTCTAGCTATAGTTAATTTCTTGACGTATTTTTTATGAGCATTCCTATCTATCCGTCGTCCTTTTAAACACCTCCAAACGCAAAGCATTTTGTTTCACGAATTTCGGCATCTAAAGAACCAACTCGTCTTGCTGAAATTGTCGCCTAACCCATCAAGGTCTATCACACTGACCGCAAAGTGATTATTGCTACCATTACTCGAAAGTACTAATAGAACATAACCCTCTCCCCCGTTAACACGTGCACTTCACTGGACAATCAAGTTGACATGACGGGATGGCCACCTGCTTCTCTTTTTTGTCATTGAAGCTGTTTAGCAAACTGTTCCTCGTCCAGCCAGCCGAAAAACTATTACCTTCAAAATTGGGTGTGTGCCACTGAAAGTGGATAAACTCCATAAGCCCAGTGAATGTCTGCAAAGTGCGATGGCGGTGACCTGAAGACCTCGAGTACGTGTAGGGAACAGTATAAGAGAAAAGGCGGCGGCGAGAAGACCCCGTGGTAATGGAAGGCCTACGGCAAAGAAGATGTGCCCTTGCCCCGCCGTGGTGGTCTAGTGGATAAGGTACTCGGCTACTGACCCGCAAGTTGCGGGATCAAATCCCGGCTGCGGCGGCTGCATTTCTGATGGAGATGGAAATGTTGTAGGCCCGTGTGCTCAGATTTGTGTGCACGGTAAAGAACCCCTGGTGGTCGAAATTTCCGGAGCCCTCCACTACGGCGTCTCTCATAATCATGGCGGCTTTGGGACGTTGAACCCCACATATCTATCAATCATTCAAAGACGTGCCCGTGGATGTATATGACAGGTGCGAACGCTTGGCTTTAACGAGAATTTGTGCTTTTCGAATTTGTACTTCCGTGTCGTGCCTGTGCCTCAGTTGTTTAACTTGAACCTCCGTGCGCTTAGAATTAACGTAGAAACAAACAAGCATCACCTATCTAAAGCCTATAACAACCTAGAAGCAACCTAAAAACAAAGTGCATCACCTAGGTAAGACCCAGAAACAGCCCAGAAGCGACTATAGATCAGTCTTCGGAATCGTCCAGTGCGGCTGTTTCAAGCCCAGCTCTTTCTTCTTACTGTTCACCAATTTTTTTTATGAATTTTGAATTTTCGCTTGCACACAATGCGCTGCTCTTTTCACTAATTACTAAAGACGCTGCCGTCGACGCCACAACAGCCGACACTGACACCGGAATTTTTCTGAAACAAGCTCCTTGAATGCTATGCTATCACCCTTAAATGTAATGGCAACAACTCGCACATTCCAAATGGTGTATGCGATGAGTTTTGCGGGCATTGCCGTTGGCATTCAACGACAAGTTAAACAACACAGGATCCTAACAGTAACCTCAGTGCCTGCAGAAGAAATCAATACCTGGTTTTGCATGTGTGCAACTATGTTACGGCCATCAAATAATTTTATATATTTAAATGAGCCTTAAATTCCGAATGTGCATTGTATATTCAAATTTCCAAGAGCAAAAAATACTGACCTTGTTTGACGTTAACTTGCTGGAAAATGCCATGGACTAATAACTTGCACGTTGCGAGTATATGTAGGACAAGCCACTCTTCATAAGCGTGTGTCCATTAATAATACCTGTGCCCACCGATAATTCCAGTACCATGGCATGGTTACCTGGCACAGCGTAGTGGAGAGCTTCGGTAGTTTCAACCGACTGGAGTTCTTTACTATACATTTAAATATAAGTACATATGCCTGCTGCACTTCGCCGACCTCTAATTGTATACCCCTTCTTGTTTCAGCGCTATAACTTACTAAAATGTTTTCTAACGACTACTCCGATTCTTCTCGCAAGTAAACGAAGCAGTGTTTACAAGGAATGCAGATCGACTAAATCAAAACGTTTCACGTTAGCGCTAGCTCACTGCCATTTGCTTTATTTGTCCATTTGGTCAAAGCTGTATATTAATATTTATTGATCCTCAGTAAGAGGCTTCTCGCTGCATTTATAATTATGTTGTAAGTCTAAGAATGAGCGATAAGTTGCATCAATACATGCTGCAAGGGTCGTACCAGCTCTCTACATTCGTTGAATATAATCTGTATGGAGATATATGGATATATGGATATGACAGTCAGGACGCGTGACTAAATAGGGCTGACGAGCTGCCTCAGAACCATATGCAGGAGTGATATATGTAATACTGTCGCCTGTACACGGGCCCGCAGTCCTTACCTTTGCAGCCTGTGCAAGTGCGTCGATTGAACTCTTCGGAATGTGCGGCTAGCGTTTGGCCGCTAAAGTAGAAGCCGTCCGAGTGGTGACTAAAGTGTCGCCAACTCGCGCATTGACGCCGGGATCGGTCTCTCGATGACAACTGACAAGACGGGCCAGCGCGAGAAGACGTAATGACGCCCCGCTGTGGAAACGCTGGCTAGACGTTGGCTCCGGCGTCACTTGGGAGAGGGGAGCCGAGCTGCATTTGAATGCCATCGGAAAGCACGAAAAACACGCGCGCTTCCTCCCACCTGATCCACGTGCATCGCCATATAACCGACGCTCGAGGACCGTTCCCATGAATTACGACATCGTCCGCAGTCTTCGCAGGCGCTTTTGTTCCGTATGCTAATGTGCTCGCGTGATTCGCGGGGCGATTTCGATCTTCGGCTTTCCTCCGAAACAAAAATGAAGCCCCCCCCCCCCTCCTCCCCTCTGGGAAGCTCCTCCCCACTTTGAATCTTCAAATCTGACATCGTTCGAGGGTAATGAACAATGTATGAGCCCGGAATCGTTGTGGTAGCGGTAGTCTTTCTTTGAAATGGTTCGTACTTGTACTGAGGGATCAGGGAACGACCACGTAGATTTAATGGGTTTTATTAGGTCATGCATCTGACGAAATGAAAATTGAGGATGAGCAGGATGACTTTAATATTCAAAGTAAAATAACTTCTGATCGTGATCTGAGAAAAGCAAAAAATAAAATCTCTTCATTGGTCTTCCACAAAAACTAAAGAGAGAGAGAGAGAGAAGGTACCTTAACCTGGCTTAACGTATCCTGCTTACTCGACTTTGCGTACTCCATTTGAAAAAATATAGGCAGATTGCACGTTTCATGGAAATCGACGTTATGTGAAGCATCTGGAGGAAAGGTGATTGTTGGCGTGACTGATGATCGATGCGTTATGAACTGACGCTAAAAAAGCATTGCTCTGTGTCTCCACGTGTACTAACTATAGTCTCCGAACTCCAAACTACACGTAGCTTTTTCTACTCAAGTTTGGCTTGCCTCGCAACGTCCCACATATTGGTGTAGTCGTTACGGTGCTGGGCTGCCGACTCGGAGGTCGCAGGTTCGACACCGGCTGCGTCGGTCGCATTTTTGTGGAGGCGAAATGGCCAAGGCTCATGTGCCGTCCGTTTTAGGTGCACGTTAAAAAAACGCCAGATGGTCGAAATTTGCGGAGTCGTAAACTATAACATCTCTCCAATCATACCTTGGTTAAGACGTTAAACCACAGATATTATTGTTTCCGACATCTCCATTGTGAACATTCTTATAATTCTCTTCTGAGGTTATTTTGTTATTGTGTTCACTGCCCCGCCAATCACTTTTCGCTTGCTTTTTCTTGCTCAGTGTAATTCAAATTGAATGTATACTGAGATATGCTGCATTTGTAGCATTGCCCATTTTGTTGTGCACATCGGTTTTCAAGTATCTTTTCTCGATTTTTCTTGCGACGCCATGAGCACGTGCTGTTTCTGTTCTGTGAATACCACAAGGCCGATGTGTACGCGGGGAAAGGGAGCATTGGCGAGCTACGATTAGGTGGCTTTCTTTTAGGGCGAAGCTCCTTAGGGCGTGGGCTGTGCGTCCCCTGTAGCCTGTATGTAGCCACCTCTAGTTTAGTTCTTGCAGTGTTCACTAGATGGCGGTACAGTCCCCTGTATGTAGCCACCTCTAGTTTAGTTCTTGCAGTGTTCACTAGATGGCGGTACCGTCTCCTGTATGTAGCCACCTCTCGTTTAGTTCTTGTAGTGTTTACTAGATGGTGGTACTTGTAGCTGATGATGAAAAGATGCAAGATGTTATAACTAGAAAGCGGTACTTGTAGTTGATGAAAGACGCGAGATCTTATAAAATAGGAATGATGTCACATATGGCTCGTGTCATTGGTTGAAGGCAATCGTTCGATTTAGTGCGGCGACGTACGCTAGGGGGGCGTTGTAATAAAATCCGTTCGCTGTTGGCGCGCGCTCGGAGTCGCCGGATGGATAAGGCTGCACAGCGGAGAGAGCGCAAGGCGGCAGCTTCGGCTTCCTCCGAAACAAAAATGAAGCCCACCCCCCCCCCTCCGCCCCTCTGGGAAGCTTCCTCCCCACTTTGAATCTTCAAATCCTGACATTCGTTCGAGGGTAATGACAAATGTATGAGCCCGGAATCGGTGTGGTTAGCGGTAGTCTTTCTTGAAATGGTTCGTACCTTGTACTGAGGGATCAGGGAACGACCACGTAGATTGAATGGGTTTTATTAGGTCATGCATCTGAAGAATGAAAAATTGAGGGATGAGCAGGAGACTTTAATATTCAAAGTACAATAAGCTTCTGCATCGTGATCTGAGGAAAAGCAAAAATCAAATCTCTTCATGGTCTTCCACACAAACTAAGATGAGAGAGAGAGAGAAGGTACCTTAACCTGGCTTAACGTATCCTGCTTACTCGACTTTGCGTACTCCATTTGAAAAAATATAGGCAGATTGCACGTTTCATGGAAATCGACGTTATGTGAAGCATCTGGAGGAAAGGTGATTGTGGCGTTACTGATGATCGATGCGTTATGAACTGACGCTAAAAAGCATTGCTCTGTGTCTCACACGTGTACTAACTATAGTCTCCGAACTCCAAACTACACGTAGCTTTTTCTACTCAAGTTTGGCTTGCCTCGCAACGTCCCACATAGTGGTGTAGTCGTTATGGTGCTCGGCTGCTGACTCGAAGGTCGCACGTTCGATACCGGCTGTGTCGGTCACATTTTCGTTTTGGCGAAATGGCCAAGGCTCGTGTGCCACGCGTTCTAGGTGCGCGTTAAGGAACGTCAGATGGTCAAAATTTCCGGGATTGTGAACTATCGCATCTCTCCAAATCATACATTGGTTAAGACGTTAAACCACAGATATTATTGTTATCCGACATCTCCATTTCTGAACATTCTTATAATTCTCTTCTGAAGTTATTTCTTTATTGTGTTCACTGCCCCGCCAATTATTTTTCGCTTGCTTTTTCTTGCTGTGTGTAATTCACATTGAATGTATACTGAGATATGCTGCATTTGTAGCATTGCCCATTTTGTTGTGCACATCGTTTTTCAAGTATCTTTTCTCGATTTTTCTTGCGACGCCATGAGCACGTGCTGTTTCTGTTCTGTGCATACCACAAGGCCGATGTGTACGCGGGGAAAGGGAGCATTGGCGAGCTACGATTAGGTGGCTTTCTTTTTCTTCTCCTCAGCCATGTATTTGTGTATGCATGTCGGGAATACTAATTTAGACTCAAATATACACCAAGGTTGTACGCAAAGGCATGCTGAACAGTCGCATCTGTTTTATATTACCAGTCGTCTACTGTTGTGTAACGACACCAACAGCAACATGGGTATTACAAACACCAGAAGCGGTAGGCTGATATGCAGCACATTTGATTGCGAAGAGTGTAGGTCTGGTCAGTGCTTCTTATACAACGTCAATGAATGGCGCTTAAGTATGCAATTTATGCTAACTGACGAAACGGCTGTATCACAAAATGGCTCCTGTATTATTCATGCAATAAAATAGCTAGCAGTGCATTCATTATTGATGTTTCAGCAGCATTATGCCTGCATAGGGCCTTTCTCTAAAGCATTTCTGAAAGTTGGTGTCGTCCTGCGCTAGAATACTTGATTGTTACAATGCCTCGCAAAACCGACTCCAAGTCACCCTGCAGTGTGTGTCGTCAGCTTTGCGTCGTGGTGTACAAGACCAACTACGATTGGAAATAAGAAAAACCTATCAGTAATTGGAAGACAAAGGGCATAGCCTCATTTTCCAGTGGCTTCCAGGCTCCTCTGGCATTGACAGCAACGAACATGCCGATGATTGTGCCAGAACTGCTCATGACAATGGCGTGAAGAAATCCATTCTAGTATCAAGAACCGATGCAGCATTCAATACTAGCTTGCCCACACGTGATATAATACACTCAATGTGGAACACGACTGCTTTTCTGCATACCCAAAACTCGCTCACTGGATTCCGTGCTGACCGGTTGTGCCCTCGCGATCTCCGACGACAGTGCAGCTCTGGCCGACAGAATTGGTCCTACGCCACCTCCTGTCGCCGACAAGAGCTCTCGCCAGTGATACCCCGTCCTCGGACTCCTGTGACCATTTTTCATCTTTTCTATCTCTTTTCTGTCGTCCCTCGCTGTCCCTGCGCATCTCTCTCTCTCTCTCTCTCTCTCGATACCTTTAATCCTAACCTTTTAATCCCTCCTTACCCCCCCTTGTGAGCTACTGTTGAGGTGTCGCACCAGATGCAGACAGTTACGGGACTCACTTTTCTCTTGTCTTCCCTTTTATAACCACAATATGCATACCCGACCATGCCGTTTAGATCCGTCCCTTCAACTTCAAATTGCATCCGGACTATTCTGATCCGAAACAACCATCCTCTGCCACTTGTGGCTTGGAGTGTCATTCACGAACAGTTTTCCTTACCGGATCACGATGACTGACAGGGCTACGTGTGATCACTACGGCAGTGAGAAAACCATTGCCCACGTCCTTCGTGATTTTCCTCATTATAGCTCCCAAAGAATGCAGCTTTCGGCAATGTTATAGCACGGCACGATGACAGGCCGCTTTCGGAGCAGTCAATTTCGGAGCGCCGGAACGTTTGACCATACAGTATAAAAGTGACGAATGTGCTGCTGAATTTCTGCGGTCAACCAGACTCGCAAAATGGCTGGGACACTTCTGTGCTTGAGTTTGTGCCCGTTTTCGATTTTATTTTTTTAACCATCCCTTTCTTTCCTTTTTCTCTTCTTACATTTTCATGTCCATTTCCTCTTTTCCAGCGCAGGGTAGCAAACAAGAAGTTTTCTTCTGGTTAACCTTCCTGAGTTTCACTCAACCTTATTCTATCTCTCTCTTTGTGTTACACTGAATGCCTGTGTTTCATTCCTGGTGAGACGCTCATATCTATTCGTCGGGTCAATGCTGCGACGTCAGTTTTTCTTAATGCTGTCGCATTCGAATTACCACTGTCTGTTCTCATCGTTCTTGGGTGGTTATAAACTGTCAATCACCTGTGGCGCATACCTGCATACTATAGAATGGTATGTTGGTATGTGCGACACGTGTATCGAAGAAACAGTTTGACAAAGTATGTGACAAGATTTTTCACGTT